CATGCACCCTGACAACCCTGCCCTTCCATCTCCCCACCCCAGTTCCACATGTAGGGCAATGTCATCCAGGTGGAGTCATGTAGATCTGTCCTGACATTTGAAGTAGGGACTAGGATTTCTCTCCGGATCTTGGTTAAGGCAGTATCCCTCCATGGGGGATGTGTCTGCAAGGTTCTTTTGTGCTCCACGAATACATTCTGGGTCCACTGTCTGAGGTGCCTTAGACTGCTCAGTCCTTCTGGCTGAGACCCATAATCAAGGAAGCCTGAGTCTACCCCACGCTGGATTCCCAACTATCAATCTGGTGGCCGTTAGATCCTCCTTGTTCAGGTCAGCTGTCTTTGTGTGTTTCTGAAATCTGGTCTTGTCCTCTCCATCTGCATCTGGATTCTAGTTTGACTTAGTGTTTACATATATGTGTTTGCTTCTGTTTCCAACAGGTACTAGGTTAAGGCTCCGTGATGATGGATAGGTTAGTTGTTGATCTCTCTATCTGGAAAGGGCATTTATGGTAGCCTTTCCATGGTTGCTCAAATTGTTAGCTGGCAACAGTCCTATAGGTCTCTAGATCTTTCTTTAGGTTCAGTTTTCTCTTCAAAAGAATAATGCCTCCTTTTATATTCTCATTCTCTCTCTCTCTCTCTTTCTCTCTCTCTCTGTCTCTCTCACACACATTGAATCTCCCTTCTGTCTTCTACGCCTATCCTGACTCAGTCTTCCTAGTTGCACATGCATTCCTCTCCTATCCTACATTTTTCTTAGTTCTCTCTCTATTCATTGCCCCCCACCTTCCATGTGCTCTGGGGGACTTATCCCTTCCTCCTTCTGTGAGGGACATTATATGAATTTCTTAAAATACACCTTGTATCCTAGTTCCTGTGGTGGTGTTAACTATAGGCTGGAGATCATTTGCTCTAAGTCAAAAATCCACATTCGGTGAGTACATACTATGTTCATCACTCAGGATGGTTTCGTCAAGGGCCATCCACTTGCCGGTGAATTTCAAGATTCAAGAGTAGTACTCCATTATGTAGATGTGCTATATCTTCTTTATCAATTCCTCAATTGAGGGGCATCTATATTGCTTCCAGGTTATTGCTATTATAAATAATGCCACAATGAACATAGTTGAGCACATGTCTTTGTTGCATGAATGTGGATCATTTGGGTATATGACTAAAAGGGGATTTGCCAGGTCCTGTGGTAAACTTATTCCCATTTTACTGAGGAGATGCCATATTCATCTCCAAAATGGCTGTACGATTTTGCACTCCCACCCAGAGTGGTGGGTGTTCCCCTTTCTCCATATCCTCTCAGGTATAATCTGTCATTGGGGTTTCTAATTGTATCCATTCTGGCAGGATTTAGATGGTTTCTCAAAGTTGTATTGATTTGCATTTCCTTGATAGCTAAGGATGTTGAACACCCTCTTAAGTGTCTGATAGCCTTTTTGATTTCCTCTATTGTGAATTCTCACTTCATTTCTGTACCCAATTTTTAATGAGGTTATATGGAGATTTGTTGACTAGTTTCTTGAATTCTTTGAATATTTTGGAGATCTGCCTTTGATGTAGTATTGGTGAAAATCTTTTCCTAGTCTGTGGGATGCCTTTTGGTCGCATCCACTGTGTCCTTTGCCATACAAAAGCTTCTAAGTTTGAAATGTTCCCTTTCATTAATTGTTGATCTCAGCGTCTGCACTCCTAGAGTTATGTTGAGGAAGTGGCCTCATATACCAATTTGTACAAGGGTACCTCCTACTTTCCCTTCTAAGATGTTCAGTGAGTCTGGATTAATGTTGAGGTCTTTGATCCATTGGACATGCGTTTTGTGCATGGGGATAGACATGGGTACATCTGTAGTTTTCTATACACTCGCATCCAGTCGTTACAGCACCATTTGTTGAAGATGCTTTCCTTGCTCCATTGTACTCTTTTAGCCATTTCGTTTAAAGTCAGGTGTTCATAGGTGTGTGGGCTTGTGTCACGATTTTCAATTTGATTCCATTGTTCTACTTTTGTATTTTCGGCCAATTCCATGCTGTTTTCAGGAGTAAAGCTATGTAGTAGAGCTTAAAGTCAGTGATGGTAATGCCTCCTGAAGATCTTTTATTATACAGGACTGTTTTGGATATCCTTGGTCTTTTTTTTTTCATATAATGTTTATTGTTATCCTTTAAATGTCAGTGAAGAATTGTGGTAAGATTTTAACGGGGATTGCATTGAATCTGTAGATTGCTTTTGGAAAGATTGCCATTTTTACTATATTTATGCTACCTATCAAAGAACCTCGGAGATCTTTCCATTTTCTGGTATCTTCTTTAATTTCTTCCTTTAGAGCCAGAAAATTCTTATTATGTATGTCTTTCCTTGTTTGGTAAGCACTACGTCAAGATACTTTATGTTACTTGTGGTTATTGTAAGGGTGATGTTTCTCTGATTCATTCTCAGCCTCTTTGCCATCTGCATAAAGTAGGGCTACTGATTTTTTTTTATGAGTTTATCTTGTGTCCAGCTAATTTGCTGAAGTTGTTTATCATCTGTAGGAGTTCCCTGGTAGAGGTTATTGGGTCACATATGTAAACTATCATATTATTTGCAAATAGAAACAGTTTGACTTCTTCCTTTCCAATTTGGATCCCCATGATTTCCTTTTGTTGCCTTATAGCATTAGCTTGAACATAAAGTACAATATTGAAGGGATATGGAGAGAGGGCAGCCTTGTCTTATTTCTCATTTTAGAGGAATCACCTTAAGCTTCTCTCATTTCAGTTTGAGGTTGGCTGTTTGTTTACCATGGGGGACTTTGTATTTGGGGCACAAATGTTCAGAATTGTGTCTTCATGATGATGGATCTTTCCTGAAATGAATATGGAATAACCATATTTATTTATTTTTTTTGACTACTTCTGGTTTGAAGTCTAACTTGTTATATATTAAGATGGCCACACCTTCTTGCTTCTTGTGTCCATTTGAGGGAGGTATTTCCCAATCTTTTACCCTGAGGTAAAGTCTATCTTTGAAGCTTAGATGCATTTCTTATATGTAGCAGATGGATGGATTTTGTCTTCATATCCATTCAGTTAGTCGGGTTCTTTTATAGGTGAGTTAAGACCATTAATGTTGAGGGTGAGTAAGAACAATTGATTGTTGATGCTTGTTTATTTTACATTTGATGGTGTCAGTGGTATTGTGAATACATTTGACCATGTTTATACCCATGGTTTCTGGTGTAGTTATCTGTTGCCTACATCTTTGTGGGTGTAATTAACTTCCTTGGGTTGGAGTTTTCCGTCCAAAACTTTCTGTAGTGCTGGAGGTGTAGATATTTCCTGGGAAAACCTGGTTTAGTCATGAAATATCTTGTTTTCTCCATCCATAATGATGGAAAGTTTTGCTAGGTATAGTATCCTGGGCTTGCATCTGTAGTCTCTTAATACTTGTAGAACATTGTATACAAGAACTTGTATACAAGACCTTCTGGACTTGAGGGTTTCGATGGAGAAGTCAAGTGTAATTTTTATAGGACTGTCTTTATGTTATCTGTCTGTTTTCCTTTGCTGCTTTTAATATTCTTTATTCTGTATGCTAGGTGTTTTGATTGTTATATGTCGAGGGGTCTTTTATCTTTGGTCCAGCCTATTTGGGGTTCAGTATGCTTCTTGTACTTTCATGGGCATGTCCTTCAGACTGGGAAAGTTTTCATTGATGATTTTGTTTAATATATTTTCGGCACCTTTGTGCTGGTCTTCCTCACCTTTCTCTATGCCTATTATTCTTAGGTTTGCCTTTTTCACAGTGTCCCACATTTCCTGGATGATTTTTTAAGGATTTATTGGATTTATGATTTTCTTTGGTCGATGAATCTATTACCTTTAGTTTATCTTCCGTGCCTGAGATTCTCTCTTCCATCTCTTGAATCTGATGGTTGTGCTTGTATCTATAGTTCCTGTTCTTTTACCCAGTTTTTCTGTTTCCAGCATTCATTCGGTTTGTGCTGCCTTTATTTTCTCTATTTCAGTTTTCAAGTCTTGAACCATTTCCTTCACCTATTTAATTGATTTTTTTTTTCTTGGCTATCATTTCTTAGCTTCATTTCTTCCACTTTATTTTTTTTCCACTTTTTTAAGGGATTTTCTCACATCTTCATTGAGGGTGTCTATCATTTTTTATGATGATAATTTTTTAAGTCATTCCCTTCTGGTTCATCTGCTTTGCTGTGTTCCATTCTAGTTGGTATAGAATCCCTAGATCCTGATGGCATCATGCTTGTCTTTCCATTGTGAGGTGTTTTCTTATATTGTCATGTCCCATAGCTTCTTCTAGTAGGTTTTGTTGGGGCCTCTCCCTCTCTCTATGGTACTTCCCTGGTGGGCTTCATTGGGTCAAAGGTTTGACGACTGTAGCTCTTGGTGCTCCTAGTTCTCTAGGACATCTCTCCATAGGCAGACTCCTGGCGATGTGGGTCAGCAATCAGACTCTATCAGACTGTCGAAGTGGGTCAAAGTTCCCAAAACCTAGGACTCAGGAGGTTCCTTGTGCCTATATTCAGATCTAGCCTAAGCCTGGCAATCTCCACCTGAACCCTTTTTAGCAGAGTCCCTGAGGTGTGGGTCAAGAAACATGCCAGGAGGAACTCAGAGTGGTTCCACAATAATAGGCGGATCAATGGGAGTTGCCTATAACTCTAGTAGAGGACCAGAGGTGGGGGTCAGAGACCAGGCAGGTGGAAATTACTGGTGGTCCTGAATGGACAGGCTGGACTTGTGTGTTCAAGCCATACCCAGAGGGTTCCCCAAGGGCGTCTCGATTGTTGGTTCCACCCTCTGTCCCAATGCTCAACCAGAGCAGTGGGACAATTTGCCAGGTAGGGCACAGGGTAAGGGGATTGTAGGCTCTCAGTGGGTGTGTGTTTGGGTGTATCAGAACTCGAGTTCTCTCGATGGGGACAGGACACAGGGGCAGGGAGATCCAGGGCCAACCCAGGGAAATCCTGTGGAAATGTGTACTGGAGAGTCAGCCCAAATTGGACCCAGACTCTCGTCTAGCGAAGGCCTGGCAATAAGGGACCAAGGCTGGGCTGATGATACTCAGGATGTTTCTGAACGGGTAGGTGGATCTACCTGGGAATTGGCACTCTCCAGGGAGGCCTCTTTAGCAGAGGCCCTGAGATATGTGTCAAGGATCCTGCCAGCAGGAATTCAACGTGGTCCCTCAGAGTTAGGCAGATCAATGAGAGGGGCCAGGAACTCCAGTAGAGGACCAGTGGTGGGTGTGCAAGACCAGGAAGCTGGAAATTATGCATGGAACTAAGTGGATAGACATGTCTCCTGAGTTCACAGCCGATCCCATACATTCCCAGACTGGCCTGAGAGTTGATGTGGCAAAATAATTTATGTTTTTACACAGAAAAGGAAGGACTCAGTCCTATCTTCATTTTTTCTTTATTTCTATACATACTTTATTTATTTTTGATTATCAATATTGCTTTTTTCTTTTGTTTTTACATATTTTTTTTACATATTTAATGCAGTTCCCTCTCCCTCCCATGCCTCTCAATTCAGCTCCAGTCCCATTCCTGTCCCCACTCCACTGGGAGAGCGATTCCTTCCAGGAGGAGTCAAAAATCTGTCAAGTCATTTGGAGTAGGGACTATGCCCTTCTCTTGCCTCTAGGCTAAGGGAGTATCCCTTCATTTGAAATGAGCTCCCAAAGTCATTTCATGCTCCAGGTATATATCCTGGTTCCAGGGAGACAACCTTTTTTTTAAGTATATCATTGGAGCATGACATGAAATTTGCTCTGTAGAGCAGGCTACTCCCAAACTCATAGAGTATACACCTCTGTATCCTGAGAATTATATTATAGGCTTGGGACACTGAACATGTCCATACATGGCATTCTTGTGTTGGATTGCACTCCACTACTAAATTGTGATGTGGAAAAGTAGAATTATTCATATAAAAGGCTTACCAATTGTAGGGACAGTAAGACCCACAAAAGAGAATTTAGCTGAGGAAGTGCTGAATATAAAATAGCCCAAAGATGAATAGTGTACTAATAAGGCCTGTTAGAGATTAGGATGCTAAAATATAGATTTGATCTCTAGGATTGTCCAGGACATTTGGCTCCAAACCATTACAAAGGAGAAAGTCTTGATTCACAAAGAGCCCTCAGGCCCATCTCCTTTTGACAAAATAAGACTTTTAGAAGCTGATCAGGTGGCATTGCTTGGACAGAGTGAACATTAGGGCCTGATGTTCCAGAAAGGGCCAGAAAAATCATAGTCCTCCCAGATGGGAAAGATAAACCCAAGTGACTACTGTTTGAAAGGGAAACCCATTTTGTTTTGAGGGCTGGACTGAGCAAGCAAGACTTTCAGTTTAGGTCCTCAATCATGGAGATGGAACAATGCTCCTTCTCAAAACTAGAGACTTGATTGGCAGAAACAGTAACAACCAGGGGGCTTTGCCTTAGGACTTTTCCATCATGCCCTCAGATATGCAGAATAAAATAGAGCTCCTCCTGTAAAACAAGGAAGACGCTTATGAGGGAATGCAAAAGTTATGGCCAAGGCCTTAGTGTAGGTGTTATTTCAGATCCTGAGAACACAACCCTTACTCCTGCTGACTTTCTAGAATTCCCCCATTTCCTTCCATTTCACCCTGGAAGTCATAAAGAGGTGGCAATTCTTCATAAAAGATTACATCGAATAAGATATAAGTTAAGCAAGACCTCTCTGCCCCAGGTTTTATATTTTCTTTGTTCTTCCTTCCCTACCTCCCTCATCTTCTGGCACATCTGTGTCAGAAGCTGTCATTAAAATGTGACCTGCTGTTGTATGTCACTGGTGTACTATGAAATAATTATGGTACTATCTTTTCTGTTGAAATCTTTTATGGCCTTACTGGCCTGACTTGCAGTTTCCTGACCATATTTAAATTCTTCAAACTGTCAGCTGGCATCTGACCCTGGAAGAACTTAAAAGTGGCAGCATTTGTGGAATGCAAAATATGTTTTAGGAGCCAGACAGTGATAATGAATGCTTTTAATCCCAGCCCTTAGATGTCACATGCAGGCAGATTTCTGTGAGTTTGAGACTAGTATGCTCTATAGAGCTAGCCCCACTAAAACTAAGGCTATAGCAGAGGGAAACCGAGATACCCAGTCTCAAAAATAATCTGTTGTAGGCTTTCTCCTCTTTGAACATTAGCTTGAGATGGTTGCATGCTATCATTACAGAGAACTTTTTTTTTTCTTTATTTACCTCTTTAATCTATGGAGTAATTTCTCACTGGAAAGGAAAAATCTAGAACAGCTTTACTCCCAGCATTTCAGAATTAATATTCTCATTGCTTTCTCACTGACAATAGTTGCTTTGATCCCAGTATGTTGCTTTGTGTGGCAATGCCCTTTATATCCTCTTAAATACACCTCATTAAATTAAGAGACTGTATACCCTCAGAAGGTAGAAGTATTTTATTTATTTATTTATTTATTTACTTATTTTGGACCAAGTATCTTTGAGGATACCAATTGCTTTTAAGGAAATATTTAATAAACAGAACTCATTAATCTGTAACACTGCACATTGATTTAAAATATAATCTACTTCTACATCAAAAATGATCTCAATAACATGACAAAGAAGTATGACCACAGTGTTTTAAAATTGTCCATATTAGTCATGAAGTTTACTGTCCATTGCACTTAGAGCAAAAGGATTTGCATGTGGAACATGGATGCTGCCTTCAGACCAGAGTATAAAGAATAGTTTATTGTATGCACTGTAAGGAGAAACAGAGTGGATATCAGCTGTTGTATCCATCACAAAAAATGGTCATGATTGCTGCATTGTGCTGGTTTGAATGATATTGCAGCTATAATCTCACAGGGAATGACAGTAGTAGAAGGAGGAGCTTTGTTGCAGTGACTTTGGCATTTTGTGAAGAAGAGTACCACTGGTGATAGGTTTTGGGGTTTCCTATGCTTTGGATATGGGCAAGTATATAAGATGTCTTACTGTGGCCTGAATATCACGATGTAGCTCCTTGCTCGCTGCTATAATGAAAATGTACTCAAATTCTGAAACTGTGAGCCAATCCTATTAAATGTTTTCTTTATAAGATTTGTGGGGGGATCTCTTCCTTGCAAGCAGAGTGGTGAGTATTCCATCCCTGATTGTCATGGGGGGGGGGCAGTGTGGGACTAGTGTTGGAATCCCTGACTGGGAGAGTTTTACCAAGGGGCAGAGACAAGTTGATCTCTGTGAGTTATGGACCAGGCTGTTCTACAATAGCTAGTTCCAGCACCACCTTAAAAGTCATAGAGAATCCCTGTCTGAGAAACAACAAAAAGAGTTGTGGTGGTCTTAGATGTTATACACAGCATACAAATCCTAACTAACGTAGATTCAGTGATTTTCTTTAAATATTCATGTCAAGTGAATGAAGAATGAGCAGATTTGCTGGATAAAATTTGGAAGTTATTTTGAGCTGGGTGTAGACGATGGTGTGATATCATTGAGATTTGCATTGAAAGTAGGGACTACAAATTATCTTCATTTCTTCTCACTGTCCTAATAGAGATGTGCATTGCTTCTTTCCATAATCTAATTTCACCTGGCTTGCATTTAGAGTAACATATATTCATTTTTTGTAGCTTTTCTGATACAGAATGTCTCTGTGTAGACCTGGCTAGCCTGGAACTCATTTTGTATACTAGGGGTCCACCTCCCTCTTGGTCATGAATGCTGGAATTAGAGGCATGGGGGACAACTACCTGACTCAACATATAATATACTTATTAAAGTAAGAATAACAAATAAAAGGATTACACATTGCCTCCACACACTTTAAGCTTCTTTTCCTCACAGACATGTAGTATAGGGATTAGGAGTTCTCTAAACAACCTTCTTGATACTCATGAACTGACCCTATCAATAGACAAAGCAAAGTCACACAGATAAAAGTAATGCCTGCTTAACTACAAACTTTTTTTCTTAGAAGGACTTGGACATATACTTAACAACTATGAAATATGTATACTGTTTAAAATATCTGAATAGGAAGAAACTAAACAGACTGGCATATCTACAGCATAGATCACAGGGTGCTATAATTCAAAAGGTGGAATTGGTTAAGGCATTGTTTCCTTCTCATTTTTCATGAGTGCTTTGCAAACACAGAAAACCTACCTTTCACTGACGTACATGGTTTTGTGAGAAAAAGAGAATCATCACTGTACTTTAACCTGTGTTTATTTTCACTGTAGCTCTTCTTAATCTTAATTTTTTTAAGTGTGGCTCATCAATAATATTTTCAGAATACATTAAAATATCTTCAGAGCCAAATTTTCATAAATTTGCACATGAAAATTTGCCTTCTATGCTTCTAGAAGTTTGGCAATGATCCTCCATATTGTGGTCATCCCAAATGTAGTCTGAAATAACAGGTAATAAATGATGTATTCTTACAAATTGTAAAAAATTTAAGTAATAACTTCAATGAACATTACAACTATGCCTCACTCACCCATTTTTCCTTTTTCTCAATCAAAATTACAGAATAGTGTCAATAATCAAGAAACAGTTGGCCCCCTATTTTAAAAAATGAAGGAAATTTCAGTCTTAACTGTAGCAGTGAGGTTCCTGTAGGTGTCCAGCATTACATCTATGTAGAGACACTTTTGAGAAGGATTTAGAAAAGCTAACACTTCCTGAGTGAAGTGGATGTGCACATAGTCATAGGTCATTGAATACTAAAATAACACATACACGTATGACAAAGAAGTATAATACTCATATTGTAATATATACTTCTTTGACAATATAGTTATATAATTCTGGAGCTTCCATCACATATTTTACACATGGACATTTTAATGCATTCACCCAGTCATATTAGAAGTAAACTGAATAAGAGGACCATGTGCTTATCTTATATCATGCTAGTTTGCTGAAGGTGTTTATCAGCTGTAGGAGTTCCCTGGTAGAGTTTATTGGGTCGCTTATGTAAACTATCATATCATCTGCAAATGGAGACAGTTTGATTTCTTCCTTTCCAATTTGGATCCCCTTGATCTCCTTTTGTTGTCTTATAGCATTAGCT